TCTGAGATGCGCTGGAGGCACCTGGCGCACCGTGCCCAGATGCTCAGCAAGTCCATGCTGCGTCCGGAATGCTGGGTGAGCCTTCCCGACCACAGCACACTGGAGGTCGAAGTTGCTGGGCGGCCAAAGTGCCTCAGCTCGCATTGCTTGTTAGATAGCAGCTGCCACGAGCGCCACATGGTCAACGAGCTGCTGACTCTCGCCAAGCAGATCGATCCCAGCTCGGCCTCCGCCCTCTTCGAAGCTACGAAGGATTCTCGGCCTGGATCGCTGGAAAGATCTGACGACCATGCCCCCCCTCTCCCCCCCTTCCCCCGAAAGTAGCACAGGAATGCCTGGGGCAGAAAGCTCCCAGAGCGGTTTTGATATGTGGTCCCCTGGAGTGTCTCCCTACATCCGAAATCCAATCTGACGGAATCAACACACCCGTATCCCTAAATTCGAACCTCCGGACTCCACAGTGGAGCAAAGTCAAGGATCTTTTTGCTTGGCGAGACTTCCACCAAACGCCCATGCTCTTCTACCCCACCCTTCGGCGACAGGCGGCTTGCGCACCGTTCAGAAGGGTCTTGGAGGGTGGGGCCTAGAATGTGAGTTCCCCGGGTCAAAGGTGTCGAGTCTCTCCGCGGCGAGGAACTCCATCATGTGCGGATCGAAACTCTTTGTGACGTCAGACGTCTCTCCCTGCTTCGACCCTTGAAACCTAAAACTTGCATTCACGGGACACGCCTAGGTGTGGTATGGTGAAGAAGATTACCCTCAGTTGGTGCAAGATCTGCGCCACCACTTCTCGGCCATCAAGGCAGGGTTTCCTGGTTGATGCGAAGCCGTTCCTTCCATGGACAAGGTTTTTGTTGCTGGAAGCTTCAGCATCATGTTCGTCATCGCCACCATCGTCATAGCCGGCAAAAAGCATGACGGTCAAGTCGCACGAGTACCACCACCGTCACCACCACCGTCACCATCATCATCATCATCATGATCATCCTCACCATCATGATCATCATGATCATCATCATCATCATCACGATAATCATCATCATCATCATGATCATCATCCTCATCCTCACCATCATGATCATCATGATCATCATCATCAGCATCATCATCATCATCGTCGTCACCCTCACCACCATCATCACCATGCCCATCACCATCACCTCGTTCATGGCCACCATCACCATCATCACCACCAACGTCAGTGTCAACACCGTCATCGCCGTGCCACTGAGTTATTCTTTTTCTTCAATGTCTCTGTCATCGGTTGCCCCTCGCAAGTCATCAAGACGGGCTTCATCATTAGCAATGTACTTGTAGTCTGAGTCACCAGAACACTCACCAGTCAGCTATTCTGCGCTGTTGATTGGCGAAGGCGGAGTTTCTGAAATCCTACAGTCAGCGGGGTGGGAAGCTGAGTCTGGAGGAGCAGGAGTGACTTGGACGTACATTACCGAAAACAGTTTCAAGGCGTAAAGTCTTGGCCAGACTAGCACCAACTGGTAGCAAATGCTTCTATCTCACCTCCGGCTCTAGATGCCGCCATCGGACATGCTGAGTGCCCGCGCTGTTGCCTTAAACGTGCTTCACCCATGTTGTATGACTTGACCAGAGCTTCTGGGGCAACTTTTCTGCCGTCCGCTTGCACTGGGTCCCATAGAAAACGGGAGGAACTTCACCAGGAATCGCATTGAGCTGCGTTGTCGCAGCTTGAGTGGATTTTCAATCAGTGCTGTCACAATGTGTTTTAATGCAGCCTTTCTTAGTACAGCTTTTACATGACCCGCGGAAGCCTGAGATGCGACCAGGTACAGTGGCAGGGAAGGATGGTGGTGCTGGGACGTATGGTCTGCTGTGGATGGCTGGGTTCAGGAACGTTGCAGGCTGATACCGACACTTTGCAAAGTGCTTCGAGCCCACATTCCCTACGCAAAGTCCTCGAAGCTAGCGGCCTATCTTCAAGAAGAGGCGCGTCCTTGTTGCTTGAGATGTCTCCGCATGTTGGTTGCAATGCTGGTGCTGGTTGCACTGTGTTGGATACAGTTTTCCATGTCATACAGATATCGCTGCAATGTATGCATTCCTACTCACGGGGCGCGGGTGTTGTTGTGATTGTTGGTTGTCCCAACCGCCCCAATGCGTGTTTGAACCGATCTGGAACCA